TAGGAATACCATTTTGTTTAATCATCTAATGAAGGAGTTACTGTTATACAAGTACCGTCAGAAGTTTGTTTTTTGTTAAATACATTATTAACAGTGTTTGGTTAAACCTTGATGAAATTAGAAAGTAAATTAACAACTGTAGTTGATACAGAAGTCAAATAGTTAATTTAATCTGTAGTGATAGATGGGCCACCTGGTTGTTAAGTTAAACGAGTAAAATCAGTTGTTATCCTAATGGGTAAAGTAGTTAAACCTCCTAAATTTCTATTTAATTATTCTTCGGAGGAATTAATAGGATTTTATTTAAAGTATTCATTAAGTTGTTTTTGTGTTTCTTAAATTAAATCATCATAATCATGAGAGCATGCATATCCTTCATGAGCAGAAACAAGGTTTTGAGTTTATAGAAAGAAGAAAAGAATAAAAATATTCAGACAGATAGTTTTCTTTAAGTCTTACATTTTTTTATTGTGTTTCTTAGTTTATTATCTCTTTAATTAATTTGAGAAGTAAATATTATTTCAAACACATGCAACAATTTTTTTATGAATTAGTATTTAATAAAAAATTAGAAGTTTTACAAGTATTTCTTCAAATAAAATATCAACCACAAACAAATTTAACAAACTTTTCGTATTTTTTTAAAGACTTTATCATCTTAAGTTTTTACCATATATATTCTTTTCTTCACCATAATAAGCATTTGAGAAAAAATAAAATAATCATATAAATTAATCATAGCAGTGAAGTTAAAGAGATTTTGAAAAGAGATCAATTCAAGTTCAAAATTATGCAAACTGTAAATAAATTAAGAGAAATACAATTTACAATCCTTTAATAATTTTCCTAATTCAAATTTTAGTGATAAACATGAATTTGGGTTAAAATTAAAATTTTGTATGTTTTAATATTTAATATCAATAATAAATATCATGGTCAATCAATATCCATAAGTTTATAAGACTCTGATTAAGAGAAAATTTAAATACCTTTTAAGCTTATTTTCTATTATAAAATATTTTTTTTATATTGTTAAACTGAATATTATTTCATATTTTTATAAATTTCTTATTAAAAACTTCATACTATTAACTTAGTTAAGAAAAAAATATCTTTGAAAAAAAGATTTTTTTCTTAATTTATTTGTCATTGCCAAAAATTTGAGTCGTAAAACATAATGCTTATAAAAATATTTATTTATTAATATTTATGGAGCTGGAGTTAAGGTTTTTCAAAAATAAATATTTAATTTATATAAAAAAATTTTTCAAATGCAAATAAAGTAGAGAAACTAAAATTAAAAAGTCTTTCAAATATTTATTGAAATATGATTTGCATTTATTTTATATCCTTTTTAATATTCTAGTATTTAGATAAAAACTGAATTTTACACAAATTAATTAAGTATTTTAGGTATTTTTCAAAATGTATTAAGTAAAATAGAAAATATTTAAGTGTTTTTTGGCGATTAATTAAATAATTACCATACAATAGAAAAAAAAGATAAGAGAAAAAAAGATTATTTTGTTAGTATATTTAATTAAAAAATATCTGATTATTTTAATTGACTAAACAAGCTCTTTATGAAAGAAACTTTTAAGAATTAACATTATTATTTTAATAAAGGAAATATGTATGTCTATATCTTTCATTAAATATAAAATCACATAAATATCTTATTCAATATTTGAATATTTTTTATTTATTATATATATGAAAGAAAAAAAAAATTGTAAACTGAAAACAGTAATGTTCTTTTTAGTGCTTCTAATTATTACGAATTAATTTTCATAATTTTTTATTTGATCTCAAGCTTCAATACTTAAATAAAAATGGGTGGGATATTCTTCTTCTAGTTTAATAAAATTGTAAATAATAAAAATGACATTTTGTATAAATTTTCAAGATAAATAAATAACTATCTTTAAATTTCTATAAGCCTCATTTTGCGTGTTTTTTTGGTTCATTATTTATGTTGACTATCTTAAATAAATAAAAATTAGTATTAAATTAAAAATATTAATGTTACACATAAAATAGATAATAGTTAGTAATTACATAATCAAAGAGTATTCATTTATTTTAAGGAAAATATTCAAGATAAAATTAATTAAATAATTAGAGTCGTAGGATGAAAAGTAGAAAGACTCTATTTTACAGTTTTTATATTTTTGTACTTAATTAATTAATATATTTACATAAAGTACTGTATGCTTTTCTAAAATTATTTTTCAAGTTAGATGTATTAATCAAATATATTTTAAATTATTAAAAGTATACACCTTCTATAATTTTAATATTATTAATTACATACTATATTTTTTAATATCTTACTCAATCCTAATTTTAATCGAAAGTTAATATTGCTTCTGAAATTTATTATAATAATTAATGATAAAATATACCAAATTACATATTTTAAAAAATAAATAGGATTCATTTACATTTTAATGAATCAAAAATAAGTCTTCTTTTAACAATCTAATTTAATTAAATTAGGAAAAATGAATAAAATATACAGAATACAAATTGTTTTAATACCTAATTTACTACAAACTCTACTTTTTAAAGTCTCTCATAATTTAAGATTGTTATAAATGAAAAATAAGCATTTTTATTTTGCGTTTTGCCCTCTCTATACCTTAAAAATAATAAATATCGTTATTTAATTTTTAAGTAATAAATTATGTATGAATGGTTAAATTAATTGCAATTTTTTAATATGTTTAAAAGGAGAACGTTTAATTTAAAAACTATTCTGAAGATTATCCTTAATTAAAATGATATTATATTAGTCAAGCCTAAATTTGAAATTTTTATATAAGGAGAAGCTGGATAAGGTTGAGGGAATGGTTCATCTTGTAGAAAATTTTTTTTAATTTACAAATAAATAAAATGTGTAAAATTGAAAAAATGGTTAACTATATTTATGGTTTCACATTCCCATTATCCTTTATATTCTACTTTTTGTTTTATTCATAGTTTATTAAGAAGAATTTAATATTGTAATTCATTAGTCATTAATGATAAAATTAAAATTAAATTAATCGAAATTCATAAATTAAAATTCTAAGATAGGGTAAGGCCTACATAATTCATTAAATTATTTTATTATTGCTAATCAAAATAAAACTATATATAAAAATATAAGTATTATGGTAAAATAATTTATGTTTGCAAACGTTTCAGCATCTACTGAAACACACTTTTGATTGCTATTTCCATTTTATCCTCTAGGGCATGTTAATACGCAGCTTTTTTCAGAAAGAAACTTTTTAAATTTAAAATATATTTATTAGGTAAATAGATTATCAAAAAATTATTATTTACATAGTTATTTGAACAAGATAAGCATGTCGAGGAATCGGAGCAATTTGAACAATTTGTTGGACACTAGGTACATGTTTAATTTGATTAATTTCCATAATATCCTTAATTACATTTAGCTACGCAGCTTGTACCTTATAGATAAAAATTTGGATTGCATGATGCACATGTTGCAGGTTAGAAAGAACCTATACAAGTAGAGCAGGGAGAAAAGCAAGATTAAGAATTTATGCAAACTTGCTAATTTTTATATGTGAAAGGTTTATATTTAGAATTGCAAGTTTTACAAGAATTTCCATCAGAACATTCATCGCATCCTTTAAGGCATAGAGAGCAAATGTAATTTGAGCCATTAAAATATCCTTTTGGACATATTGCTACGCATTAATTATTTTTCAGGTACAAGCTATTTTCGCAAGATAAACAAGAACTAGGATCTATAGAAGAACAAGTGGCGCAAGGCTTTGTACAAATAGTACACGAGCTACCGTATAGCCTGTAACCATTAGAACTGTCACATTAAATACAGGTTTTAGCATCAGAGCAGTTTTTACACCCAGTTACACAAGCAGTACAAGTCATATCTATTGAATTTTTATAGTAACCTAGTGGACAAGAAGAATCACATTTATTTGATGATGGCTACAGATAAAGATTTTATGCACAAGATAGACAACTAGTTGGAGTAGCAGATTTACATGTAGCACAAGGAGTAGTGCATGAAGAATCAATGCATGATGTTAAACTCTTTATATAGTTAGATTTACAACCAGTGCAATTATTATAACTAGTACAACTAGAGCATCCATCTGGACATTTAAAACAAGTCTTTGATACTTCATCAGCAAATTACCCATTTGGACAAGTTGTAACACATGAACCATTACTTAAATATGTTAAAAATTGGCATGCTTTACATTAATTGTTGCTTGGACCTGAGCACTATGAGCAAGAAAAATCACATTATTTGCACAAACCTGTACCAGAATCTGGATAATATCCATTTGGACAAGTCGATCTACATACCTGTAAAAAAAAATAAATATTAAATTTACAAAAAATTCAATGTTAGTTTTTATTTTTCAAATATTGCATTTTAATTTTTGAAAAAATTTGCATTTGAAAATCGATTTTGGATTTTCAAAAGAGAAAATTGGAACTTAAATTTAAAATGATATTTAATTTGAATATTTTGGTTATACTTATATACTCTATTCATATAAACTGTAAAGAATTAATTAAAATCAAAAAATTAGTTTTTATATTAATTATAAGATCAAATA